GCTGTGAGTCAGAACTGATTTGATGGCACACAGCAACGATAGTGCCTAGTACATGAGTTTTGGCACAGTAGTTAAGGTATCGGGCTGCTAACCAAAAGGTCATCATTTCAAACCCACCAGCCATTTCCTGGAAGAACGATGTGGAAGTTGGCTTCTGTCAAAGATTTACCGACAAGAAACCTTATGGGTAGCTCTGCTCTGTCCTGTGAGTCAGGCTTGACTCAGTGCTGGTGGACTTGGTTTTCTATTTGGATACCTAGCAGAGTTAGTGATTATTAAGAGAATAAACGAATAAGAAGTTAACTTAAAATACTTAAAGTGACATTAATTCTGAAATCTGATGTGTTTTAGAATTGATCAAGAGTCAGTGATAGGGTTAAGATGAAAAAACCTAAAATAGAGAAATCTGTTGAAGAGATGTGAATAATCTTAGATATTTTAGGATTTTGAGAGGCCTTGATTAGACATAAGAGTAACTTTTGTTTCATTTACACACACACACAAAATGTTATTTAGGCAGCAATGTGTTCTTTCCTACACCCATATGCTTCTGAGTATCTGTTGTGTGTGTCTACAGTTTTCAAAGTGTGTCTAACACATTGTTCTTTTGCTTTCAGAGGAAGTTTGGAAGGGAAGAGAGAACAGAAGAGCTACAAGGCTGTCCTAGAAGACCCGATGCTGAAGTTTTCTGGTCTATACCAAGAGACCTGCTCTGATCTTTACGTTACGTGTCAAGTTTTTACAGAGGGGAAGCCTTTGGCCTTGCCAGTGAGAACATCCTATAAGGCTTTTAGTACAAGATGGAAGTAAGTTATTTTCTTGTATATAGTGGGGTCTGACTCTTCCATTTATTTAAAAATGTTGTTAATATAATTTAGTAGGGACTACAGAGCAATTTCTTAATTTAATATCTCTAAACATTTAGTTTAGGGGTCCTGGTGTAGTACTGTATACTAAACATTGGATTGCTAACTTCAGGCTTGGCAATTCAAACCCATCAGCTACTCCTCAGCAACTCTGTAACTGGTTGTTATAAATCAAAACTGACTCAGCAGCATTTAGCAACAACAACAAGAAGCATTCAACAGGAGCCCCGGTGGCACAGTGGTTAAAAGTGTTTGACTGCTAACCAAACCCACCGGCCGCTTTGTGTGAGAAAAGACCTGTTGCTCTGTTTTGATAAAGATTACAGCCTTTGAACCGTATTGGGCAGTTCCACTCTGTGGAGTTGGAATCTATGCTATGGCACACGGCAAGAAGTGTTGAGAGGATGAATTATGAAATTGCATTTATATTTTTGATATAGTTTTGATCAAACAGCTGACTGATTTGAAAATGACCAAAAATGCATTCTTAGCATCTTTAAATTGTGTACCATTCTGTGCACTTGAACACATTATTGGATGGTCTGAGTACCATTCTGTGCACTGAGTACCATTCGGTGCACTTGAACATTGTTGGATGGTCTGAGATATTATCCAACTTGATGTTTGACACTGAGAACTTTTTAGCTTGCAGAATCATATTCTTAAAAAAACTTTCTTCTGCCAGTATAGTACAGATAAAAGGGGGTGTGCTCTGAGTTAAAGATGTATTGGGGCCTGCTCTTGGATAGCAGTGGATTTGATGTGATTGGTCTGTTTGGATATCTATTATCTCCCAGCCATTAATTGATAGAATAGAGAGATGAGGAATTTCACATTGGATGTTGTTGTTGGTTTTTTTCTGTAACTTTGTTGTGTGTCATGGAGTTGATTTTGACTCATAGAAACCCATGTGACAGAGTGCCAATAGAAATGCCCCTTAGGGTTGTCTTTAAGGGAGCAGATTTCCTGGTCTTTTCTCCTACAGAGCCCCTCCCTGGTGGGTTCAAGCTACCAACCTTTGATTTAGCAGCCAAGCTAGAGGCTTCTTTTTAGCTTTTGTTCATTAACCTGTGTTGTGTGGTTTGTGCCCTGGCAGAAAATGACATTGCTTAGTATTTTCCTTTTCATCCTTACCTACCATGTGGAGAGTTCTTACATTTATTTGGTTAACTTACCTGTATGAAAATAGCTTTCATAGGCATGTGATTGATTTTTTTAAGAATGTCAAGAGAAAGAAAATGTTTTTTCTTTCTGACTTTTAAAAATTCTTGAAATTGATAGCTACCTCTAGTTTTCCTTGGATTCATGTGATACATATATTCTCACTGATTTGTCATTTAAATTTTTGAAAATTCTGTTTAATTTCTTACTGATGCAGATGTATTTTGCCTAGACTGGGACATGCCCCTTTGAGGATAATTTTTGGTAAAGAGAAGCTTTTGTACTAATGATGCAGTATGTTTGTTGAGTGTTAATTTTTGTATTGTTTGCATATTCTTCTTTTGGGATTACAAAAGCCATCTGCTCTTTAAGGGAATTGTATTTATCAAATGAATCCATTATGACATTTAAAAGCCGAAGAAAATCTGCAATGATGAGTTGCTGTTGCAGTCCTGTTGTGGCCTGTGGGATAAAGCATTGGACTGCAAGGTCAGTTAGAACAGCAGAGTCGATGGTTCAGACTCACCAACTGCTCCTTGGAAACCCTATACAGAGTCGCTATGAGACAGAACCGACTTGACAGCACATAACAACAACAACATGTACTGTAGACTGAAATACTACCTGATCTTATGCCATCCTAATATCATTGCAATCTTTGAGACTAAGGTTATAGCCACTGTGTCAATTCATCTCACTGAGCACTCTCTTCTCTTTTTTATCCTTCTAGTTTACCAAGCATGATGTTCTTCTATAGTGATTGGTCCTTCCTGATAACATATCCAAAGAACATGAGACTAAGCCTTGCCATCCTCAAATCCATGGACCTTTCCCTCTGTATTTCTTCTGAGACAGAATTATTTGTTGTTCTGGTATATTCAGTATTGTTTACCAGTCCCATCATTCAAATGTGTCAAGTCTTCTGTGTTCCTTATTTATTATCCACCTTTCTCATGCATATGAGAAAATTGATAATGCCACAGTCAGGCAAACCTCAAAGTGAAATCTTTGTTCTTTAATACTTTTGAGAGGGCTTGTGCAATAAATTTGTCTAATGCAATACATTGTTTGATTTCTTGACTGCTGCTTCCCTGGGCATTGATTATGGATCCAAGTAACATTAAATCATTGACAACTTCGATCTTTTCTCCATTTATTGTGATGCTGCTTGTCCAGTTCTGAGGATTTTTTTTTTTTTTTCCCCTTTCTGTTGTGGTACTCAAGGCTGCAGTCTTTGATCTTCATTATCAAGCGCTTCAATTCCTCTTTGCTTTCAAAAAGCAAAGTTGTGTCATCTACGTATTACAGATTGTTTATGAGTCTTTCTCTAATTCTGATGCTGTGTTCTTTTTTATATATTCCTGTTTCTCAGATTATTTGCTAAACAGATTGAATGAGTATGGTAAAAGGATACAATTCTGACACATACCTGTCCCTGTTTTAAACCACACAGTATGTCCTTGTTCTCATTTAATGACTGCCTCTTGGTCTGTGTGCTAGTTTCCCATGAACTCCATGAAGTCACCTGGGATTCCCTTTCTTAGCAATGTTATCCATACTGTATTATGAGCCACACAGTTGAATGTCTTTGTATATTGAGTGTCCTTTGTTTTCACTCAAGATCCATCTGACGTCAGCAATGTCCTCTTCTGAATCCTGCTTGACTTCCCTACCGTTTCTTGTTGATTTACTGTTTTTGAATTATCTTCAGGAAGATTTTACTTGCATGTGATACTGATATTATTTGATAATTTCTTCATTCTGTTGGATAACCTTTCTTTGGAATGGGCACATTTCTTTAGAATTGGCATCATTGAGTAAACACTTATAGTATTGCATCCCTTTATTGAAACATCTCATTTGTTATTCATAATTTTTTACAGCATTGTTTTTCACCAGTGTCTTCAGTGCAGCTTAGACTTCATACTTCAGTACCATCTGTTCTTGATTATATGCTACCTATTGAATTGGTTGAGCAGTTTGAAGCTACCAGTTACTTCCAGGGAGAACAGTGAGGCTGAAAGCTCTCATAAAGATTTACAGCCTCACAAATCTATACAGAGTCACTAAGTGTTGGAACCGACTGGGTGGCACACAACCACCACCGCCACCACTTTATGTTCAAGAGTAACTCTCAAGATCTTTCTTGCCATCCATTTTGGTCTTCTCTTTCTTTCCTGCTTTTTAATGATTTTTTGCTTTCTTTTACAATGTAATTGATGCCATCTCTCATCTTTTATATGGGTTTTGGTCACTAGTGTTCAATGCATTTAATCAATTCTGGGTTTTAAATTCAGGTGAGCTGTTTTTATGGTCATATTTTGGCTCTCATGGGCTTGTTTTCATTCTTCAGCTTCAACTTGAGCTTGTATATGAACCGCTGATGGTCTGCTCTGCAGTTGGCTCCTTCCTTGATTACACTAATGATGTTGAGCTTCTCCATCGTTTGTCTACAAAGATACAGTTGGCTTGATTCCTGTGTATTTCATTTGCAAGATGTATGTGTATATAATCACTGTTTATGTTGTTGCAAAAAGGTATTTCCAGTGATAGATCATTGTTTTTCAAAATTCTGTCTGCTATTGCTGGGATCGTTTTCATTATCAGGGGTACGTTTTCCAAGTACTGATCCTTTTTTGTTTGAACCTTCTTGTTGCAATTATTAGTAATTGCATCTTGATTACATGCTTCGTCTGTTTTAGCCTGCTGAACTTGGTAAAAATTTCTTCATTTTGGCATTGGTAGTTGGTATGTAGATTAGAATAATAGTTGTATTAACTTTGTCTTCCATATGTTGTTGTTACGTGCCATTGAGTAGGTTCCCAACTCATAGTGGTCTTGTATAGAATTTCTGAGGCTGTACATCAAGGAGCTCTGGTAGCGTAGTGGTTACGAATCGGGCTGCGAACCTTAAGGTCAGCAGTTAGAAATTACTAGCCGCTCTGTGGAGTAAGATGAGGCTTTCTGCTCCCGTAAAGATTTATAGCCTTGGAAACCCTGCACAGGGTTGCTATGGATCGGAACCGACTCGATGGCACTTAACAACAACAGCTTGGTGGGAGCAGAAAGCTTCATTCTTGTCCCTGGAGCGATCAGTGGATTCGTGCTACTGACCTTGTGGTTCACAGTCCAGTACTTATTATCTAGAGCCACTATGCTCCCCTGTCTTTCTTAAGTTCTTGTTAGGTGCCACTGAATCCATTCCAACTCATAGCAACTCTTTTCACAGCAGAGTGAAATATGGTCTGGTCCACAGTGTCTTCCTTATGGCATATGGATATTACCCTATCGCTATCAGAATTGTGCTTCAAAATTGTTAAATGCCATTGAGTTAGTTCTGACTCATAGCAATGCTGTATAGGTTGAACAGATCTTGAAATACTCATAATGACGATGAATGTGATGCCATTCCTCTTCAATTTGTCATTCCCTGTGTAGCTAGTTATATGATTGTCACGTTCAAAATAGTTAGTATCAGTATGTATCAGCTTATGAATACTTAGAATATCAGTCTTTATGAGTTCTACTATATTTGATGCCTTACAGTTTTCCTAGATTTATATTGAGTACATTTCATGTTCCTATTATCAGTGGATGTTTCAGCAGTTTCTTCTCATTTTGAATCATGCCACATCAACAGATGAAAATCCTAAAAGCTTTACTCCATCCACATCATTTGACTACTCTACTGTGTAGTAGCTCTTCCCCAGTGGTATTTTGAATACCTTTCAACCTGAGAGGCTCATCTTCCAGCACTGTAACAGATAATGCTCTGCTGCTATCCCTAAGGTTTTTACTGGCTAGGTATTTTAGCAGTAGATAACTAAGTTCTTCCTAGGTTGTATTTGTCTAAAATCTCTGCCATATCCTGTTGCCCATGGTAAACCCTAGTGATATTTGAAATACCAGTGACATAACTTCTAGCATCACAGCAGCACACACGCCTCCATAGTACAACTGACACACCGGTGATGATATAGATGAATGGTGGTGGTGGTGTGTCACTGAGTCGGTTCTGACTCATAGTGACCCTGTACAGGGTTTCCGATTCTGTACATCTTTATGGGAGGAGAAAACCTCATCTTTGGCCTGCAGAGCCACTGGTAAATTTGAGCTACTGACCCTTGCAGCCAAACTCATAATCCACTACATGACCAAGGACTCCTTGATAGATCAGTGTTATTGTTAAGTGTCATCGAGTTGGTTCCTAGTCACGCGAACCCATTCAGCGGCACTTAGGACTTCCAAGGAACAGCTGGTAAGTTCAAACTGCCGGCCTTGAGGTTTAAACTAAGCTTACAGTTAAGTGGTTTTCCTGCAGTGCCACACCTAGGACTTCTAGAGGGTTAAAAAGGATCTGTGTTGTAATTACTATATTACTGAGAACACACATTCCTTAGTGGTGTATGCATCACCTATCTGTCTAGAACATAGTCCTGGGGTAGTGTTGCAGGATTATGCAGTGGACTACAAGGTTGGTTTGAACTCACCAGCCATTACTTTGAAACCCTGTGTGGCACTTAACAACAATATCTGTCTAGATGGTAACTTTTCATGTTATGAACTAGATAGTCTACTTTGACCTGTGTTACATTTTGCTTTTCTTTTTTTTTTATGAAGCACTGATGTGGGTTATAGGGCCAAGTATCCTCTGCAGTGTGTTAAGAGTAATGAGTAATTCTGATTTTTACACATAGTGTAAAGTTGTGTCCTGGAGAATGTTTAAAGAAAATCACAGTTGGATTAAAAAAATTGTAGCAAATTTATATGTTCTTGCAGACTTCTACTAGCCATTTTCATGTTCCCTTGTGTCTTTGTCACATTGTCTGAGTTTCTTGTTTAAAAATGTTTCTAGTGTTATTTTTTTAGGTGTTTTATTATTTTAATAAAGGTTTTTTTTCTGTTTATGTTCTCTATAACTGAAGTTGACTATCTGCATTGTTATGAATTGACATGAATGAAATACATTATTTCTAAAAGTATTGACCTATAATCTTTTTGGGTCTTTTTTTCCTTTGGCCAGAAATTCTTGTATGGTTTATTAATTTAAAGAAAAAGTATATAAGTCTAGATTATGTTGGCCTTATTTTTATAGCTGGAATGAATGGCTAAAATTACCTGTAAAGTATCCTGACCTGCCCAGGAATGCCCAGGTGGCCCTGACCATATGGGATGTGTATGGACCAGGAAAAGCAGTGCCTGTGGGAGGAACGACAGTTTCTCTCTTTGGAAAATATGGGTAAGTATTGTACCCTTTTAATCTATGAGAGTGTTTTAGTGCGTAACACCTAAACTTAGATGCTAAGGAGTGCTGTTGGTACTGTAAGACGAGAATATTACATTTGAATTTAATACTTTAGAAAGATGTTTTCAATTTGAGATTATTTTTAAAAGGTTTTCTTTTGTTACACATTTGTATATTGTTACAAACATTTTAATATAAACATTTAATATGTAAATAATAATTATAAGCATTTCAACATTTGAAAAAAATGTAAACATCTTAATAGTAGAAGTAATTAGGGTAATCTTTTATTTAGTCTTCCCTTAGAATTTCTGTGAATATTCTCCATGCTTGTTTTGGCAGATGACTCCTTAATATCATTTTTCAAGTTAAAAAACTTCACTATTTTGTTGGGGAATATTTTTTAAATGTATATGTTAATTTAGGAGTGAATTAATACCCTTTCTAATATTATACTTTACGTATCTAGAAATAGGCTGTGTCCAAAAGGCTTTAAGTCATTCATAAACTCTAGATAAAATCCAGTTCAGAATAGCTTGATTGCTTAGTAATGTGTATGCATTTTAGTACACCAACCATGCAAAAAAAAACTTATTGAAGTTCATCTGTTGTTGTTGTTTTTGTTAAGTGCCATAGAGTCAGTTCTGACTCATAGCGACCCTATATAGGGTTACCGAGGAGCAGCTGGTGATCTTGAACTGCTAACCTTACATTTCAAACTGACTTTGCAGTCTAGCGCATTAACCCACAGCACCGCACCAGGACTCTGGAATCTGTCTAGGGCCAATAATTTAGACACAGTCTGAAACATACTATAATCTTGAGTTTTAAAATACAGTATTTGGTAAAAGTGGTATGTTACCACAAAACAGACAATGCTGAATTTATTACTCTTACTAGATATGGTGGCGAAATATTCTTGAGAAACTCCCAGACTTTTTCATTTTGTCTTCCAGGCTCTCCACAAGTGTTGTACCTTCTGTAATGTCAGCTTCTTTTACCTTCTTAAAAGCACATGTTTTAGCACTCATATATATTTTAGGAACAAGTTTCAGGAGATTTTCTGACTAGGCTGTAGTTGTGGGATAGTAGACATTTCTACAGAAATGTGGTGAAGTGAACCTGGCCAAAGCCAAATTAACTCTTTCTCAGACTATCAGTAATTCAGTTTTACTTGGCATCCAGGTTTTTGAAAAGTACATTAAATTTGTAGTAATACATCTTTGTATACGAATAATCTAGGGAATTTACTGGAAGCATCATCTTGTTCTTGACAATCCAATAAACAATCCAGTAAATCTGAAGTGGAGCCTAAGAATCAGCATTTTTAGCAAGCAGGCTAACTAATTCTGTGGAAGGTGCCTATGGACAACATTTCGGAAAACACTGTTAACCTTTTCATAATAGTTTATTTATGTAATTTATACATGCATTTTAAAAAATGAATGCTTTCTTTACTTCTTCATCTGGCGCTCCTTTTATTTATATTTTTATGTATATCACAGTACAATGGAAAACAAGAAAAGTTCCTTACCTTTCAGCCAAACCAATTGTGAATACTTGCCTAAAAGATAAATTGGTAGTAAAGTACTCATGCCCCAGAGAGTTCCATAATGGTGGTGGTGTGCTGGTAGGTGGTAGTAGTAGCAGTTGTAGCAATAAACTGGAATTAGACGTAAATTAGGAGCACGTGACTCAATAAGATAAGTGCTGGACTGTAAACCACAGGGTCTGTGGTTTAGGCAGCCCACTAGCTGCTCTGTGGGATAACGATGAGGTTTCTACTCCCGCAAACCAACTTAAAGGCAATTAACAACAACAACAACAATCATAAATTAGGTTTTGTTGTTAAGTAAATTAAGCCTTTCAGTCTTGAAATGTCAACTGGAAAATAATTTGTGCTATTTACATCAGGACTGAACATAAACTTAATATAATACAAATGACATGTACCTAAGAGCAGCACTGATTCTGTGAAATCAGTACCTGTCTTAGATGGTTGTTCTTGTTAAGTACTGTGTTGTTAAGTACTATGGAGTTGGTTCCAACTCATAGTGACCCTGTATAGGGTTTCCGAGGCTGCAGATCTTTACGGGAGCAGAAAGCCTCATCTTTCTCTCATGGAACAGCTGGTGTTTTTGAACTGCTGACCTTGAGGTTCGCAGCCCAATTTGTAACCAATATGCTACCAGAGCTGCTCAAACTCCAGTCCTTTACTTACCAATTTACCACTTTCAGGACTCTTTTGCTACAAATCTGTACTGATTATAATCTAATTTACTTGATATTGTTATTGTTGAGTGCCTTCAAGTTGGTTTCACCCTAAATAAGGTTTCCAAGGAGTGGATGGTAGTTTGAATTGCTGACCTTGCAATTTAAACTGACCTTATGGTCCATTGCAAAGCCTACAGTCACACTAGGACTCAGGGATTATGATCATTGAGATAAAACAAAGTGTATGATATGTTGAATGTAGAACTGATGATCATGCTTGTAAACTTTCAATTCATGATAATAAAATTAAATTATATTAAAAAGTGAGTTGGGTTAAATACGAATATCAAGTAAATTATATATTTATATATTTTTTACTTGAAATGTGCACACTTCTATAATTTTTGTGTGTGTGTATTTGTTGTTGTTAAATGCCACTGAATTGGTTCTGACGCATAGCGACCCTGTATAGGCTTTCCGAGGAGTATCTGGTGAGTTTGAACTGCTGGCCTTGAGACTCAAACTAACATTGTGATCTAGAACATTATCCTGCCACACCAGGACTCCTTCCCTCTCTCTATATATATGTTGTTGTTGTTGTTGTAAAGTATTGTTTAGTCAGTTCCAACCCATAGCATCCCTGTATAGGATTTCTGAGGAGTGACTGGTGAGTTTGAAACACCAACCTTGTGGTACAAACTGACCTTATGGTCCAGCGTTTTATCCCACAGCACTAAATTGGACTCCTATATTTATGTTATATATATACTTTTTTGTTTTTTAACTTGACATTCATATTTAACCAACTCATTTTTTAATTGAATTTTATTGTGAATTGAGGCAAAATCATCTGTTTTATATTCAACACTTATATATCATACACTGTTTATTTCAATGATTGTAATCCCCTGCATGCATCAGCAGTTGTCCCGCTTCCTCTCTGTGGTTGGTAGTGGTGTTGTGCCGTAGAGCCACTTCTCACTCATAGAGTCCTGGAATAGGCTTTCCAAGACCGTAAATCTTTTTAGGAGCAGAAAACCTCATCTGAATGGCTGGTAGTTTTGAACTGCTGACTTGGAGGTTAGCAACCTGGCTTGGACAAATATTTTCTTTCAAATTCCCAATATATTTGTGGGATATATAAAATGTATGGAGTCCTGGTGGGGGACCTAACAGCAACAACATTAATATGTATATGTATATATACTTCATTCTTCCTCCCATACATATTCAGCCTGTGTCTCAGTCCATGCATCTATAAAAAGAACACTTGTTGCAAGATTATATATATTTATTTACTTCTATCCCCTTTAGTACTTGCATACTGCCCTGTGACTTATCCTTCATCATTCTTCTTCCAACCTCCCTTTTCTTGTATATTACCTGCCCTATCACCCGAGTTAACACGTGTTTGCCCTCTAGCCAGTGAATTACTCCCTGTCCCCCAACCTGGCCGTAAATACTTTAGTATGAAAAATTTTATCTTAAGTTTTTGCAGTAGTGATCTCATACAACATTTCTGCTTTTGTAATTGATTTGTTTCACTCAGCATAATATCCTCCAGCTTCTTCCATGGTATAAGACATTTCATAGATTCATTACTGTTCTTCAGTGTTGCATAGTATTCCATTGTGTATATGTACCAAAATTTGTATATCCATTCTTCCATTGATGGGCTTGTAAGCTGTCTTCATACTTTAACTATTGTGAATAGTGCTGTAATGAACATTGGTGTGCATAGATCTACTTGTGTCCTGGCTCATATTTATCGTGGCTGTATACCAAGAACAGGGCTTGTTGGGTCATATGGTACTTCTATTTCCAGCTTCTGTGGAAGCACCACACCATTGTCCATAGTAGTTGAACCACTTTACAGTCCCCCCTAGCAGTGTAGGAAAGTCCTGGTCTCTCTATGCCTTTGCCAGCATTTCTTGTTTTCTGTTTTTTTTTTTTTTTTTTTTTTTTAACTTTGCTATTAATGCTAGTGTGAGAGGTTATATCTCACTTTTCTTTGGATTTGAATCTCTCCTGGTATGGAGTTATAGGATAAGCACTCGACCCCAAGGTCGTTTTGAACCTCAAGGTCAACAGTTCAAATTCATCAGCTGCTTCTTGGAAAACCCTCTACAGGGTTGCTGTGAGCCTGCACATACTCAACAGCACTTAACAATAGCAACAATGGCTCATGATCATGAACATTTCTTCATATGTTTGTTGGCTGCCTGAATATCTTTGGTGAAATGTTTGTTAATGTCATGTGCTCATTTTTTAATTGGGTTGTTTGCCTTTTTCTTGCAGAGGTATTATTGTTTTCTGTAGTGTAGTGGCTACGAATCGCGCTGTGAACCTCAAGGTCATCAGTTCGAAACTACCAGCTGTTTCATGGGAGAAAGATGAGGCTTTCTGCTCCCATAAAGATTTACAGCCATGGAAACCCTGTACAGGGTCGCTATGAGTCAGAACCGACTCCACGGCACATAATAACATAGGCTTTAGAGATTAGTCCCTTTTCTGATATTTCATTGCAAAAAAAATTTTCCCCAGTCTGTTGTCTCCCTTTTCAATCTTTTGGTGAAATCTTTAGAGGCACTTAGGTGTCTAATTTTAGGAGGTCCCAGTCATTTATTTTGTCTTTTGCTGTTTGTGTGTTTTTAGTAATGTTTGATAATGTATTTATGCCTTATATTAATACCCTAAGTTTTTCCCTGTTATTTCGGTGATGACCTTTATACGTTTAAGTTTTACATTTAGGTCTTTAATCCACGTTGAGTTTGCTTTTG